CTCTCTCTCTCTCTCTCTCTCTCTCTCTCACTCTCTCTCTCTCAGAAATAAAGAAACTTTAAAGAAATTTAAAAAAAAACTTTTCTGGCTCTGTTTGTGGTTATGTAAAATGGTAGAAAACAGCCACCGTAGAAAATAGTATGGCAGTTCCTCAAAAAATTTAAACATAAAATTACTATATGATCCAGCAATTCCACTTCTGGGTATATACCCAAAAGTACTGAAAGCAGGATCTCAAAGAAATACTTCTACACCCATGTTTATTACAGTATTATTCAAATTTGCCAAAAGGAGGAAGCAGCTCAAGTATCTCTTGACACTTGAATGCATAAACAAAATGCAGTATGTCTATATTATGGAATATTATTCAGCCTTAAAAAGGAAGGAAATACTGACATATGCTACAACATGGATGAACCTTGAAGACATTATGCTAAATGAAAGATGCTAGTTACAAAAGGACAAATACTGCATAATTCCACTTCTATGAGAAACCTAGAGTAGTCAAGTTTATAAAAACAGAAAGTAGAATGATGGGTGCCAGGGGCTGGGGAGAAGGGGATGGGAGTTGTTTCATAGAGAAAGAGTTTTAGTTTTGCAAGACAGAAAGAGTTCTGGAAATTGGTTGCATAACAACATGAATGTACTTAATGCCACTGCCTTTATACTTTAAAATGGTTAAGATGGTAATTTTTATGTTTTGTGAATTTTACAACAATTAAAAAAAAACTTTCCTAACTCTTCTTTGTCCTCTGGAGAAAGTCCAAGCCCTTGTTAAGGCATAAAGATCAGACTCTGCGCATTTGTGTCTGTGATCATGTGGCTTTTGTCCTTTATTAGATTGATATGGTGTGTTGGTGACCCTAAGACCACCACCAGGGTCCATGATTCACTAGGAGCACTCCCAAGACTCAGCATATAGTCATCCTCAAGGCTAAGATTTATGACCATATAAGGATACCAAGCAAAATCAGTGAAAGAAAAAGGTGATATTTTCATTCACGACCCAAGATTATTACTGGAGACTGGTCACATAGGAACTTTCTGCCTGGCACGAACCAAAACTCCCAACTCCCAGGAGGCAAGCAGACACTCAGCATAAAGCACGTTGTTTGTACAGGTGATCCAGGTGGTCACCCTTAACTCTCATCATTTAGGGAAATTTTCATATCAGTGTAGAGAACTGTTTACCTCTTCAAGTTCCTGGAGGCCAGCCAAGGGCACATCTTGCAAGCAGCCCTTTCTTTCTTTTTTTTTTTTTTAATTTTTTTAATGTGTATTTATGTTTGACAGAGAGAGACCGAGCATGGGCGGGGGAGGGGCAGAGAGAGAGGGAGACACAGAATCCAAAGCAGGCTCCAGGCTCTGAGCTGTCAGCACAGAGCCCGACACGGGGCTTGAACTCACAGACCGCGAGATCATGACCTGAGCCGATGTCGGACGCTCAACTGACTGAGCCACCCAGGCACCCCACAAGCAGCCCTTTCTAAAGAGAGTAGCCTCAGGCCTGCTAGGTTAACTCTTGTCTGCCCAACGTCAACTTTTCAACGGCTTTCTCATCATAAACCACAGTCATATCAAACCACAGGGTGCTGCGAAGCATGCAACACTGACATCTACCCTTCAGCACAGAAGATTACCCTTACTCCTGGGCCCCTCCTTCACCTCCTTACAAAGTGCTTCAAGAGGAACATGAACTGTCACCTCTGTGAAGCCTTCTCTGATTCCATGCAGCCAGCCAAGTCACATACTCCTACTATGCTGCCATTATAACCTATCCACGCCTCCTTGAGGTCAGTATCTCCAGTGCTTAGGACATGGCTTGGCATGGGCTAGTCATTAAGTAAAATATTGTTTAATTTTACAATGTGTGGCTCATTAACTCACAGAAAAAATCAAGGAGCCCACATTACTCTGTGTATTCCTTCCCCTGCCCTCCAACCTACATTTGCACTCATCCTTCCCTCCTGTTTCAAAAACAGAGCCCTCTACTTCTTTCCCAAGACTCTAGAACCCCACCCTAAGCCCACCATAAATTCAGTGACCATTAACCTTTGGATTTGCTCATTCTTTATTCAAATATCAAACTGTCTTTACCAACAGTGTACTTCCTTCCCTGGGAACATAGGCATGCACTCTAGAAAGCACTTCCTATCATCCTGTAGCTGTATTTATCTAATCACCCATCAAATTTCCATCACTTGCTGGCCAACATTTTAGAAAGAGTTGTATACCTCCACCAACTGCACCACCTCACCTCCAAATTCTTCCTCAATCCACTATAAGTCAACCAAACCTTTCTGCCTCCCTGACCTGCCCTCCATTTAAGGCAGCCATAAACTCCATTCTACCAAATCCTGTGGTCTTATTTAAAGGTCCACAGCATACTGGAAAGTTAGCTCAGCCTAGCTTGGTTTCCATGACAGTACTCTTTCCAAGTTCTTCCATTTATCCAAAACTTTCTTTCTCAGTATCCCCTTTCAGATCCTCTTCTGCTACAAGACCTTTCAATATTATTTGCCAGAATTCTGACCCAATCTGCCTTTGTAGCTCTTATTTTTATCTTTTTTAATTGTATGGACTCAGAGTTTTAGGGGGCCAATAATTAACACCTCTTTTTAGACAAAAGAACAGAAAATGGAGATAAAGGTCCACTGATGAAGCTGATGGCTTTACACATAGAGCCAAAAAGGAGGGCACCCCTTACATCCTTGAACCACAGGGCCTTACTCACCCAGCCAAGAGCCTGGCTGGACAACTGACCCCAGGGGCTTGTAGACAAAAGCAAAGAATCCAGGGGGAACCTTCTTGGCTGTACATATGAAGCCATTTTCTTCCAAAGACAAGGAGGATTGGTGGCCAAGTTGGATCCATGCAGTTTCTGTTCCCAATGTGGCAACCAATTAGCCTTTCCTGCCCAAGAGAAAAAGAGGAGGAAGGGAGGCCAGCAGTATAAACAAGAGACCAGGGAAACTCCACATCCATTAAACAACAACAAAACTGGCATTAATAACATTAATGCTATATTAATCATGAACAGATCAGACATGACTTGTAGGAAGATTCGCTCCAGCTGCCATGTGGAGAATCAGGCCAGGCATTATAAAGTAAGATGATGCAGGAGACCAGTTAGGGAAACTATTTGCTCAGTCAAGAGAGAAATGATAAGGCCACAAGTCTTATTGCCTTATAAAATGTAAAGTTGAAGGAAAGTGGTAGCCAAGGCTTTTCCAAGATTTCAGAATTGGTCAACTGAGTGGATGGTGATGGTCCCAAGTTTTGGAAAGAATGAGATGAGATATAGCAAGGAAGTTGGGGAGAGGTGCTGTGCAGAGATATGATAAGGTCATTTGAGTTATGCTGAATGTAAAGTGCCTACAGGGAATCTGGACAATAATGTCCAGTAGGTCTGGAGTTGAGTAAAGATTATACTAGGGGCTGCAGAGTGGATGAGGTTGTCTGAAGAATGTTCTCTCTCTCTCTCTCTCTCTCTCTCTCTCACACACACACACACACACAGTGCCATTTTACACACACAAATAGTCCTCTTCCTACTTATGACCCCCATCTTGGGAGACCTCCTTCCTGGTCCACATGTCAGAAATTAGCCAGGGCTTCTTACCTCTGCATACATACACCAGCTCCTATCCCAGCCCTATCCCAACTACTCGTGCTGTAGGAAGCCCCTAAACACTGCTTTGCACCCAGGGAGTCACTATCCCAATCCCACTCATGGAGCAGGAGTTTGAACACCTTGGTGTGTGATGTGCCAGGCACTGGCATGAACATGGGGTAAGAGTGGGTCCCACTTGGGTCATGGCCCCTGACAACTCTCCAGCTCAGGTAGGCAGGGACCCAGCACAGTTTAATACTTACCTGCTGGCCTGGCTGTCCAGTTCCACAAGCTGCTCTGGTCTTCTGGGGATGCTCTGCTGCTCTGGGGTCCTGGGGGCTGCAGACTGCTGGGAGGGTGCAGCTGGGTCCCCATGGCCACCTCTCAGGACTGCAGGCCTTTCCTGCCAGGTCTCTCCCACCTTGGCAGCCACATTCTTGTCTTCAGAATCAGCCAAGGTGCTGAGGAAGAGTGAACACCTTTATGGAATGAGACTTTGGGACCAGTTCGTCTTCACCCACTGCATGCTGATGTCACCTCCTGTGGCCATAACAGGCTCCTCTCCCAGAGGGTAGGGAAGAGAGGAGCCCAAAGGCAGTCCCCACTTGTACCAGAGAAAGCATGAGTCTCTGATGATTTTGCCATACCCTCAATCTAGCAATGAGGAAGCGGATTCTCAGCTGTCTAGGCATCAAGGGAGATCTTTCTTCCTCCCTGGAATCACATCATGCCTACACTTGCACACCCTTCCATCCCCATCTGAGGTGCTTCCAATGGTCTCATTCTTTCTCCTGGTGCTTCCTCCTTAACCTCTAGTGTGATGGTGCTGCTGCCTGGAGGCCTCAAAGATGTTATATGACCACTAGGCCAGGGACACAGAGTCAGGCTAAACTCAACTCTCCCAACATCAGCAGCCTGCCTCCAATCACTGGTGAGGCTCCCCTGGAACAAGAAGATCACACTACCAGCTACCTCCAGCCCTAGGATCTTTTATTCATAGAAGTTAATCCCATAGTAGGTATGCTCCCTGCCTTCATGCTTCAAGTGGAGCAGTGACCATACTTTTTGCAAAGTATGCCCTGAAAGCAATGCGACTCTTCAGCCTCAGGTGAGAGGAACAAAAATATCCCAGCAGAGACAATAAACTTATTACCACTTCCAGCTGCCCAGGCAGATCTGCAGGCAAGTGGGTGTTGTGTCTCCCTGTGCTGCTTCTACCCTAATGGTCTGCTGCAGCCCAGCCAGATACCAAAAGTGGTCTGCTCAGATAATGCCAGTCCCTTAGTCAGCAAGATACCCTGACACACCCACTCCACCCTTATCTGTGACATACATGCTTGAGCCAAAAACAAACCTGGAAGCCCAAAGAGCTTGTTTCCTGCCTCTGTAAGCCTGGAGCTAGCTTTGCCATGGACTTAATCAGAGTGCTGTCCCATCTCCTATCTGTTATAGAATTACAGTAACAGAGATTGTCCTTATGAAGTTTGTGAATCAAGTCAAGATTTCTGCAAAGAGTAATTTTGGGGTCTACTGCAACACAGTGGCAAGTGGGTGAATAAGGTTCCTTTGCCCTAGGCCTCAGAGCAAAGCCACTATGATTATAGGAGTTGTAATCCACCTGACCTATAAAAAGTAAATCTTACTAAAACAGTCACAGGCAGTCTTGCTGAGCAATGTAATATCCCAGAGGTCTCCCATGCCCCTAATGAACTGCCTGGAAGTCACGTGCTTAGAGATACGCCTGTAACTAGATCAAAGATCCAGTAGCCTAACACAGCTACTGCCAATTCCTGACACAATCAGACTCTCCACATGGAAGATAACAATACCTTCCATTCTTAAACTACCCCCAAAAGACTCCTCTGTTGGTTGTCAATGGTTCTTCACAGTGAATACATGTGCTTAAAGTTCACATGCTTCTCATGCAGAAAGAACATAAACCTGAAAATCTGAGACTTGCAACATAACAAAGAGGAAAACAGCCTATGTTTTAGATGTAAAGTCTAATAACAAAAGTTTGCTGGGGAAGAAATGAACTACTCTGTCTTATTAAATGAAATCAGGCCAATAAGCTGGTAAAAGGAAGCAGAGGCCAGTTTTCCCAGTGTTTTTTTGAGGTGGAAGGAGGCATTCCTCTGGGGCTGCTTTATTTAGCTTGAAGTCTTTTATAAAAGGAGAGGTTGACATAGTACTTTGTGCCAGGAAATGTTCTACATGCTTTTGACAAACTCACTTGACCCTCAGAACAACACTGTGTGATAGGAACTATTATTACCACTATTCTACCGTAAGGAAATACAAACACAGAGTGTAAGAGGAAGAAACTTAGCATGTCTGACTCCATATTGCTTCTATTTCCCTTGCTACTGTGACCTATAGCTTAGAAACTTCTGTTTAGCCCTGCATGTAGGCATGCTACAGCTAAGATTTGCAAAAACCACTCTTTACCCAAAATTTACTTCACCCAGGGGGATAAGGAAGTATGCACAGAAATGACTATGCTATGTTTAAGATTTACAGGAACAACATGACCAAATTCCTGTAAACAAAGATAAACTGACCAAGGACAGACAAATTACACAACCTTCCTGGGATGTCTACAGATGTCAGTCATCTTTTAACTCCACTCCCTCCTGATTCCTCCTTTTGCTAAGTTTCTTTTGCTTCTTTTATAAAGCTCAAATTTCATGCCAAGGGGAGAGAGCTCCTTAGGACAACAGTCCACCATCTCCTTGGTTTGCTGGCTGTCTGGATAAAGTCGCTTTCCTTACCCCAGTGTCTTGCCTTTCCACTTACTGGCTTGTCTTGCAGTGAGCAAAATGAGCTTGGACTCGGTTAGAAAAGATTAAAATGATACCCAAGGTCAAATAGCGAGTGACAGAGATTAAGCATAAGACCATGCACAGGAATACATGCTCCTGATTACCATACTATACCAATTCTTCCTGTACATGTGATGAAGCAAGACCAAGTTAGACTAGGGAAGAGTTCATCAACTTTGGAACAGTTTGACTACTCCGCAGGATAGCCTTGCCCCTTGCCCCCATCACCCTTCCTCGCCCAACTCTTGGGAATTAAGCTGCCTCTTCACAGAACCCCAGAGCCCTGCCCAGGCAGATCTGCCCAGGAGGTCCCTCATGGGTGGAGGATCCGCTGCCCTCCCAGTATGTCCACAGCCCCTGCCCCTGGGCAGCTCTGAAGATAAGTGGCCAGTGGCCAGAAACGACCGAGAGGCCGGGGCACCCTGCCAAACAGGCGGGG